AACTACTTAATAGGTATACTTGTATACATTGAGTCTGTACTACGCTAATAAACTCTGGTCACGATAGGTAGATATTCCTAGTGTAGCAACTTTGTTACACCACATGACAATGATTCTAAAATAGAGTAAGGTTGATTAATAATGTATATTCCCATACGACAAATCTTGGATCCGAGGAAACGTGGTTCGGTTGTGATATCTGTTCTCAATCTCGCCAACTGATCTTCCTCTTCGCTTCTTCTCTTTTCTCTACATTGTCTAAAGCATCTCTATTATGAAGAGTCAGTTCCATAGGTAGTTCTGGAGCACAACAATGGAAAAAAATGCCTTATTTCTGGGAGACAGAAATATTCTATCTTCAGATGCATTTGTTTACCAGTTCTCACTGTTTACAATAACATTAATTTGTCGAGTGTCTAACTCAAAGTCCATTTTCCTAAAGTATCCATCAGTTAAGTCTCTGGTCCCTCACGTGAAACAGAAATATGGCGAAACTCCAACACGGACAGAATTATCGCGATCACATTCTTGACGATAAAGATGGATTCATCTTTGCCGTATTTGAAGAAAACCACCGCACGAATGATCAAGAAAGGCAAATTAACGAGAAGTATCGCCACAATGTTGCGGAAAAACGCGGTACGGAAGCGAATCTTCGTTTTTCCTTCGGCCAGTTTGTTTTCCGCCAATTGCCAGGTGGACAACAAGAGACTGAAGCATGCCAATACGATCATAAAAGTTCCGAATCCGTTTGGTATTCCGAAGTTGTGCTCGTTTTCTTCTAAGACAATGTCTATCATGTCAACAGCATCGAGGAGATCAATGGCCATCTGATAAGACAACTTGGANCCATCAGTGAAGTCTCTGGTCCCTAACGTGAAACACAAATATGGCGAATCTCCAACACGGACAGAATTATCGTGATCACATTCTTGGCGATAAAGATGGATTCATCTTTACCATACTTGAAGAAAACCATCGCACGAATGATCAAGAAGGGCAAGTTGACGAGAAGTATCTCCACAATGTTGCGGAAAAACGCGGTACGGAAGCGAATCTTCGTTTCTCCTTGGGCCAGTTTGTTTTCCGCCAATTGCCAGGTAGACAACACGAGACTGAAGCATGCCAATACGATCATCAAAGTTCCGAATCCGTTTGGTATTCCGAAGTTGTGCTCGTTTTCTTCTAAGACAATGTCTATCATGTCAACAGCATCGAAGAGATCAATGGCCATCTGATAAGACAACTTGGAAACAAGTTCTCTGTGTTCGTCAGTTTGATCCGAATCGTCAGCAGTGTGCAACAACAACAGTAAAAGAAGTGGGGTGATGCAGAGAACCATCTTCAAAGTATTTGGACCAAGGAGCTCGTTCTTGTCGAGGCTGTCTCCAACA